TATTGTGAAAGGAATTGTTTACCCTATTTCTCTCTCAGTGAGTCTGTTGTTTGTGTAGAGGAAAGCTATTGATTTTTGTGTGTTGACCTTGTATCCCTCTATTTCACTGAATTTGGTCATTATGTGTAGAAGACTTGGTAGAGCTCTTGGGGTCTTCTATATAGAGTATCATGTCATCTGCAAATAATGACATTTTGAGTTCTCCGTTTCCTAACTTTATTCCTTTTATTTCTTTCTCTTGTCTAATTGCTGTGGCTGTTTTCAAAACTATATTGAACAAGAGTGGTGATAATGGACATCCTTGTGTTGTTCCTTTAGTGTGAAGAATTTCAGTTTTTGACCATTTAGTCTGATATTGGCTGTTGGTTTTTCATAGATGGCTTTTATCAGATTGAGGTAGAGATCATCTCTTCCAATTTTTGTAGGGTTTTTATCATAAATGTGTCTTAGATTTTGTCAAATGCCTTTTCTGCATCTATTGAGATGATCATATGGTTTGTGGTTTTGGCTCTATTTATATAGTGTATTACATTTATTGATTTGTGTATATTGAACCATCCCTGCATCCCGGGCATGAATCCCACTTGATCAGGGTGTATGATCTTCTTGATGATCTTTTGCATTCTATTTGTCAGTATCTTATTAAGGATTTTTGCATCTATGTTCATTAGTGAGATTGGCCTATAGTTCTCTTTTTTGGTTCTCTTTTTCTGCTTTGGGGATCAAGGTAATGCTTGCTTCCAGGAATGAATTCATTAGTGTTGCTTCCCTTTCAATTTCATTGAAGAGTTTAAACAGTAGTTTAAAGGCAGTAGTTCCTCTCTAGATGTCTTGTAAAATTCGCCAGTGAAGCAATCAGGACCTGGGCTTTTCTTAGTTGGTAGGTTTTTAATTGTGTTTTCAGTTTCATTGATTGATATTGGGTTGTTTAGATTCTTTAGGTCTTCTCCGTTCAACTTTGGTAATTCATACATATCTATTTCATACATGTCTATTTCTTCTGTGTTTTCCATCTTGTTGGTGTATAGGTTCTCGAAGTAGGTATTGATGATCCTCTGGATTTGTGCTGGGTCCATTGTAATTTCATCCTTTTCATTCCTAATTGCATGGATTTGGCCCTTTTGTTTCCTTTTTCTGATAAGGTTTGTCAATTTTGTTTATTCTTTCGAAGAACCAACTCTTGGTTTCATTGATTTTTTGTGTGTCATCCTCTTAGTCTCCGTTGCATTGATTTGTGCCCTGATCTTTATAATTACCTCCCTTGTATGAGCTTTGGGTTTGTCCTGCTCTTCTTTTTCTAGAAGCTTGAGGTTCAGCATGAGGTTGTATAATGGGCTCGCTCTGTTTTCCTAATATGAGTATTCACTGGCATGAATTTTCCTCGTAAGACTGCTTTCATTGTGTCGCATAGATTTCAATATGTTGTATTGTCATTGTAAATTAATTGTAGGAACTGTCCAATTTCTTCTTTAATTTCCTCTGTGACCCATTGGTTATTCAGAAATGTTGTTCAATTTCTATGTGTTTGTGAAATTCTTGTGATTTCTTTTGCTATTGATCTCCAATTTCATCGCACTATGGTCTGATAATATACAGGGGATAACTTCAGTTCCTTTGCACTTACTTAATCATGTTCTGTGAGGAAGTATGTGGTCCATTTTGGAGAATAACCTGTGTGCAGCTGAAAAGTATGTTTATTCTGATTTTGTGGGGTGGAACACTCTGAAAACATCTGTTAAGTTCATTTGTTCAAGAGTTTGATGGAGTTCTAGTATTTTGTTGCTTATTTTTTGTCTGGTTGATCTATCTATTTGTGACAGTGGGGTATTGAGGTCCCCCACTACTATTGTATTAGTGCTTATTTGATTTTCATGTCTGTTATTATTTGTTTTATATAGTTGGGCGCACTAGTATTTGGGGCATATATGTTTATGATTATCATCTCTTCCTCTTGGATTGTTCCCTTTACAAGGATGTAGTGTCCTTTTTCTGTCTTAATCATTGTGGGTTTGAAATCCACTTGATCTGCAAAGAGGCTAGCTACTTCTGCTTTTTTTTGGGTTCCTGTTGCATGGAGTTTTGTTTTCCACCCTGTAACTTTCAGTCTATGAGTTTCTTTTTGAATTAAGTGTGTTTCTTGTATACAGCATTTTGTTGGATCTTGCTTCTTGACCCATTCTGCCAGTCTATTTCTTTTGATTGGTGAATTGAGACCATTAACCTTGATGGTTATAACTGATACATATTGACTTAACATTATCATGACTTTTTCTTTTTGTTGGCTTCTCCCTCTTAGCATTTAGTGTCATGTCATGCCCAATGGATTCATTCTGCTGGACTTCCTGGGGTTATGATCCTCATTGCCTTCTCCTAGGATATTGTGTAAAATTTTTGGAGTTTTGGTTTGGTATTCATGAAGTTCCTAAGGTGCTCTTTGTCATGAAAGTATCTTATTTCTCCATCCATTTTGAAAGATAGTTTTGCAGGGTACATCAATCCGGGTTGGGGGTTGTTTTCCTTTAGGGCTTGAAATACATCACTCCAAGCTCTTCTTGCCTTGAGGGTTTGCGTTGAGAAGTCTGCTGTGATTCTGATGGGCTTTCCTTTGTATGTGATTTGTTTCTTTTCTCTTAACTGCTTGAAGAACTTTGTTTTTCTGTTGGGTTTCAGGAATCTCAACAATTATATGCCTATGTGTAAATTTTTTTTATCAAGGCTAGTTGGAGTCCTATGTGCCTCACTTATCTGTATGTCAAGTTTTTTCCCCTGCTTGGG